GTCCTGAGCAGCCCTGCAGAGCAAAGCCAGGCTTCCAGGCTGCCTGCAGCAGCCAGGGACACAAATGGAATCTCCCTGCAGCCTGGAGCAGCAGCAGAGCTGCCTGCCTGGGTTTTGGCTGGGTACAGCTGTTTTTATAGCCTGGAATTTCCTAATGAATACTCAAACCAGTCCTTTTCAGATGCTGCAAAATAAAGGGGTGAAGTTCCACATGAAAACAGAAATCTGTGAGCTGAGAGGAAAGGATGGAAAGGTCAGTCGTGCCTTTGTGATCCCCAAACTGCTAATTTTAGGGGAAAAGAGCCCAAAATGAGATATAACCCAGTGCCTGCATCAGGCTTTCCTCTCCTATGTCTAGACCCTCCCTTCCTTTTCACTGAGCACAGCTCTGGGCTCAAAGGGCACCAGTAAATGTTCCCATCCCAGGGACAGCAGCGTGATTTCCTTTTACATCCCCAGCAGCACACATTAGTCGGACAAGGTGATCCAAACCTGGGGAAGAAAGAAGACAGCAAAGAGCAAAGCAGCAGGGAGGCTGTGGGAATTAGGACAGAGGTTTTAACTCTTTATTAATGACCTTTCTTTCTTTCCTAGGTCACAGAGGCTGTTCTTGCCAACGGAGAGAAGCTCCCTGCAGATGTGGTAGTGGTGGGAATAGGTAAGAGACCCCAGCTAGGACAGGGAGGCAGATTTGGGAACGGGGAGAACATCCAGCAAGCCCAGGGCATCACAGGTCATTTCCAGGACACCATTCCATGCTGTGATCTTTCCCACTCTGTTATCATCCTTCCTCTTGGCCCCAAAACCTGGGAAAGCCAGCAGCCCCTGAGCACACCTTGGCAGGAGGAGAGGAGCTGCTCACGCTCCCGCTGTGCCTTTGGCTCTTGCTGAGCTCCACAGGTCCCTGCTGTGTTAGCAGAGTCCTGGGCCCTGGTTTTGCTGCCCCTGCACAGTCACTGCTCCAAGTGCTCTGCTCCAAGCAGGAACAGGAGCTGTGAGGCCAAATTTCCTCCCTGTCCCTGCAGAGCTTCGCTGCATTTCACCCCTGCTCCTCTCCCCGCAGGGTCAGCCCCCAACTCAGCCTTCCTGAAGGGCACCTCCATTGCCAGAGACGACAAAGGTGCCATCCTGGTGAATCTGGTGAGTGCCAGCTGAGCTCCCACCCCATCCCTTCCCTCTCATCAGTGCACTAATTGCCTTTTGCCCATTAGCACATGCAAACCAACATCCCCAACGTCTTCGCTGCGGGGGACGTGGTCACCTTCCCAGTAGCTCTGCTCGATGGGGACAGCTCCAGCATCCACCACCAACAAGTGGCTGAGGCCCATGGTGAGGGACAGTCACCTCCCAGCACCCTCAGAGATGGGAATGGCACAGAAGGGACAGCAGGAGACACGGGGGAACAATTTTTAAGGACCTGCAAGAGGAATATTCCCCGTGCTGGTTCCTCCCAGGTCACTGTGCTGCCTTGAACATGCTGAGGAGAGGGAAGGAGCTGCACACTGTTCCTTACTTCTGGACCACGTTGCTTGGGAAAAGCATCCGCTATGCAGGTAGGAAAGGGCAGAGAGGGGAACAGAGGAATTCCACCAGCTGGGTCTGGGGCTGGAAACACACCGTGGTTGCAGAGGTCACCTGAAGCAGCTCAAGCTCTGGACTGGCTGCCATGGTGAGTTTGAGGCCTGGAGGCCACCCAGAGCTGTTGTTCTTTGCTGATCTCCAGTGGGTTAGAGGTCACAGAGCAAGAACTTCTCTTTCCAAACCAAGGAGAGGCTCAAAGTCAGTTCTGCTTGTCCAGAGCCTTCATGTCTGCTCCCCAGCCCTGTCCCAGCCCCACCACTGTCCCCTGTGTCCCCACCACACCGGCTCTGAGGTGGGATGGGCGCAAACTGCTGTGCCAGGGCTGCCTGAGCAGACTCTTCCCCACAGGCTGTGGGAAGGGATACACGGACACTGTTGTGAAGGGCAGCCTGGAGCAACAGAAATTCCTGATCTTTTACATCAGGTGAGCGAATCCATGGCCAGGAAACAGGGCACAGTCCTCTCTCTTACAGCTGCAGCCATCCCACATCTCCTGGCTGTGCTCTAAAGGCAGCTGCTGGGTGCTGAACCAGAGAAAACCCAAAGCAGGGCAGGGAAGGAGAAGAGAATGAACTCAAATGATGACACCAGCTGGGCAGAGAGCCTGGGACACATCTCTGCCTCTGCCCCACTGCTCCCAGGCTCAGTGCCCAGCTCCCAGCAGTGCCAGCAATCTGCCACGAGTCCCTGTGCATCCTGCAGCACCAGCCACCCTGCCCTGAGCCCTCTGAAACACAGCTGCTCCCTGGCCACTGTGCCACGGGGATGCTACTGTGCTGAGCTGTGTACCCTGAGGAGATCCACATTCTTCCTCTTTCCATGGCAGGGATGGCCGTGTGACTGCAGCTGCCAGCCTGAACTGTGACCCCATGGTGTCTCTGATTGCAGAAGTTTTCTACTTGGGGAAACAAATCTCCAAAGAAGAAGCAGAGTAAGTGACATCCTGGCCGAGCTGGTGGGTGGCTCTGTGCTGTTCCCCACGTCAGCAGAGCCCACCGAGAGACACAAAAGCAAAAGGAGTCACTGCAAATCCCCAACCTACCTCTTGTTTTAGGGCCTGTGACATTGGCAACATCTCCTTGCTGGCACAAAGCTAAGTTTGGTTGTGTGCCCCTTGTGAGGGGCTCACAACCAAGTGTCAACAGCTCCACATCCTCCCACCCTGGAGCAATAAAACCATCAGCAAAGCTGAACCCAGCACCTGCATTTTGTGTTTGCAGACAGCCCTCGGCTGTCCACTTGTGCTGGGCAGAGCTCAGCAGAGCAAGAGGAGGATGCCCATGGCCTGGGGCTCAGCTGAGGGTCTGAGCTGCCAGCAGCCACCACAGATGCACAGACACACCAACCAGAGATGCACCAGCTCCTCCTGCTCCTTCCCTGCTGGCAAGGAGCTCTCATTTAGCACACCGGTCACGCTGACCTTCTCCTTTGCAAAAACACATTTTCCCAGCGAGGGGAGCTGTGACTGAGACAAGCTGCTCTCCCAGCTGGGAACGAGGTGGGCTGTGTGCAGGAACTTGCACAGAATACCCTGCCCCTAAGGACAGAGGGATGCCACCCAGCCTCTGAGCCAGCAGCACCTGCTGGCAGTGTCACTGCTGTCTTGGATATCACATAGCTGCAGCAGTGAGCAGGCAGCCTCTGGCAGAGAAATCCCAGATCCAGCCCTTCCTGCTGTGTCCCTGGGTGCTTGGAGGAGGTGGCCAGATGCTAGAGGAAAGAGTTACTAGATTTTTGCACAGCCAGGCTGTGCTTTCTTACAGGAAACCTTGCACTTACTCACCAGTCACATGGGGCCGTGCAGGAGGAAGGGTAAGTCCCAGGAGCCAGGCGAGTTCCCACGGGGACACTCAGGGACAGCCCAAACCCCCTCTGGTTTGACATGAAGGGCAGGACAGCCAGAGCCTGAGCCCTCTGCTCAGCAGGTGAGAGGCTGCAGTGCTGGTTTTGTGTTAAACACCCAAACCTCTGTCCTCTGGCACCTCACACATGAATTTGACCTGAAATACAGTGTTTTACATTTCCTGACCTCACAAGTTTGGTGCTTCTGCTCAGGGCAACTCTCTGATCTGAAAGAGCCACATTTTAGCCAGGAAAGAGCTGGGTTCCAGCAGCACAGGTTGCTCCTCCATGACAGGGAAGGTGTAGATTTGGGAGGCACACTGAGCACACAACTCTCATACAGATCAATCTGTGCTGCAGAAGAGGGGGGGCATGGCCAAGGAGTTCCTCCTCCCTGCCCCCAGGCACTCTCCACCCTCCCACCGTGACTTTCTGCCCCTCCATGCACTCCAGGATGTGTTGGGCACTGAGCAGGTGCCAGCTGCTCTGCATGGACTTGCAGCAGGGCAGCTGTGGTGGAAGAGACAGGCTCTGCCTCAAGCTGGAGGAACTGATCCAAGGGTGTTCAGCAGTCCCACCCCCTCTGGGTGACAACCACCCCAAAGAAACTCAGCTTCTTGTAACCATCAGCGAGAACACACCAAGAACAGCAGCTTTATGTAAGAAGGAAAGACCCCAGGACAAAAGATTTATTCTACTTCTACCACTTAATAGACCAGGCCATTTTCTGCGCTTTGCTGGGTGCCAAAGTTTGGGAGCAGCCCTGCCTTGGGCAGCTGGAGCCTGGGCAGGCAGATTAAGTTGAGATTGTGCAGACATTTCAGCACAGGGCTGTTCCTCCCTGCCCGCCCTCGGAGCTGGGATGAGCTGTGCTCTTCCTGGCAGGCTCTGAGCAGCAGTGCCTGGACACTCCCCTGCTTCCCATTCACCCAGGCAGCCTGGGAGCTGGTGGTGCTGGCACTCCTGTGGCAAAGCCTGGTGTGCAGAGGCTCCCTGGAGCCCTGGCTGAGCCTGTGGAGCTCCCCTCTCACTCAGTGCAAGGCAGAGCAGCTTCCAAATTCCTCCCAGGGCAGCCTTCTGCTTCTGCTCACCAACGAGCCAGAACCTGGACCAGAGAAGATCCCAATAAAGTTCACCACGGCCCCTCTGAGTGCTGCAAGCTCCAAAACACCTGGAACCCAGCACTGCAGCGTGGCCTCCCGGGGCCAGAGGCTCGGGAACAGCCGTGTGTGACTCGGCCCTGAGTCACCCTGGCCCGGTGGCCCGGCCCCACCGCGCCCAGCCCGGCCCGCAGCGGGCAGCGTGGGTGTGCAGCCAGCCCCGGGCTCCATCCCGCTGCTGCCATGTTGCAGGATAATGCAGCTCCTGAGCTCAGCAGCAGGGCAGAGCTGTGGCCTACGCCCAGCCTTTGGCAGCTGAAGGATCAAGCCTGAACAGGAGGACACCGCTGTCCCCGGAGTGGCACCATTGGGGACACAGCTCTGGTGCTGTGCCCCCCTCCAGGGTCTGCAGCCCCCACCGTCCTCCCACCTGATCCGGGCAACCCACGGGCAACAAACTTCCTAAAACTGAACAGATGAGGAAAACAACGTTTAATGCTTCTCTCGGCCTCCTCCCAGCTCGGTGCCACCCCACTGAGGGGGTGACAGAGTTTGGCATCCCCGCTGGCACAGCTGCCTCTACAATCCTCCAGCCAAGGCTCTGTCTGGAGGCTCCGAGGAGACTTTCTTCATCCTGGTCAGACTCATCCTCAGCCCTCCAATCCACGGGACTCTGCAGAGTGGCTCGTGGCACGGCTCTGGCTGGCATCCAAGGTCCCAGTGACGAGAAGAGAGTGGCTACATTCAACAGTTCTTCAACTGGCAGCTTTAGCTACTGGAGAAGGACATAAAGCTTGCCACTGAAGAACTGGTGCTGGTTAGCCAGGAGCAGGGTGGCACGGCAGCACCTGGGAAGGGAACACACGTTTCAGAGCCAGGATTGAACCCTGTCACCCACAGCAGCTTCTCTCCCTCCCCACAACGCTGACCTATCACTCTGTCCTCCCCCCAGGGACATCCCCCCATCCAAGGAAATCCAGAGGCAGCTCCAACCTCAACTCTCCCCATTCCTCCACAAGCAGGTTGTGCGTGAGCTCCAGCACCTGCAGCCAGCCCTAAACCAGGGAAAACAGGCAGGGAAATCCAAGGCCATTTCTGCTGGAAAATAAAAGATAAGGCCAGCTACTCTGGCAGGGCCTGGTGGCCGCGGCAGGGAGGCCACTGCAGGTGGGGGTCACGGCGTTCCCAGGGCTCACCTCGGGCATCCATCAGCGCTGGCAGGGTCCCACCTGGACGGGAGCCAGGGGAAGACACTTTGTCAGGCAGCTGCTGCCGAGCTACCGGCGGGGGAATTTCGGCCAGCTCAGCCCCCTTCGGAGTCGTTTTGTTAGAGGGTGAGCACGCCAACGCCAGGGCTGTGTTGGACCCCATTGATTCCCCCCTGACCCGCGAAAAAAATCCCTTTTCTACAACACCCAGCGCTGCTAGGGAGTTTGGGGAACCTCCCGGGAAACCGGGCACGGTGGGGGACAGATAGCAGCGGGAAACACGGGAAAAAACCTCGGGGGACCACCACAGCATCCTCCCAGCAGCGGCACCCCACAGGCACTGCGGACCCCGGCCGGCCCCGGGGAAGGCCGGACCCGGTGGGTGCCGGTGGCCGGGGCGCAGCGGCGGCGGCGGGGCCCGGCGGGGATGCCGAGCATTCCTGGCGTGCCGGGTACATCTGGTCCGGATTCCAGCGAGCTGGTCCCGGCCCTGCTCCACCCCCGCCGGCCCGTGAATCAGCACCCGCCGCTGAAGTCACCGGCCCCGCCGGCACCGGGGGCCCCGCCGGCACCGGGAACCGACGAGGGGGGCTCTGTCGGTAACAGGGCTCCCACCTAGCCCTCCTCAGCACCGACAGACCCCAGCGGCTCTGGGAAGGGCCCCGGTGGGAGCTCACCCCGCTAATAAAGAACGCTGTGCCCCCAGCCGGTGCCCCTCTCCCGGTATAACCGGGTCACCCCCCCTCCCCCAGTGTCTCTCCTCTCGGTAAAACCAACTCCCCCCTCCCCCTAACGGAGGCAGCTCCCCCCACGCCGCCCCACGGCAAAGCCGCTCCCTGCACTCCCTCCGGGACACCCCGCCGCCCTCCCGGCCCTCCGCCGCCCGGGATGCTCCGCTCCGTGCCCGCGGCGGGGAGCGGCCGCGGGTCAAAGTCTGCCCAGTCCGCTCCCGGAGTGAAGGTCACCCCCGGGGCGGCCACCGCCCGTCGCGGGGAGGCCCCGACCGCCGCCCCGCCCGCCCCACCGGGATCCCCCGGTGCGGGAGCGGCGCTGGGGCCGCGGCCCCAACCCCCCCTCCCCGCCCCGCCGACACCGGGGGCGAGGCCGCCCGGCCCGGGCGGCGCCGCGGAGCCCGGGGAAGGACGCCCCGCACCGCTTCCCCCGCGGCCGCCCTGCCCCGGGGAAAGGTGACCTTCCCTTAACGGGGCACGGCGGGGCCCCTCAAACCCCGCAGCACCGAGGGCGCCGCGCGGGGCTCCGCCACGCGAACCGCCCGACGCAGCGCGGTACCGGCGGACCCACCTGCGCGGCTCGGCTGGGTTCGGCTCGGCTCGGCCCGGTGCCGCCCCGCCGGTGCCGCCCCGGCCGTGCCCGGTGCCGGTGCCGCCGCCTCCCCCCGCCGCGCGCCGGCTCCGTCCCGGATCAGCTGGCGGAGTCATGACGCAGCCGCCCCCGGCCCCGCCCCCCGGCCCCGCCCCCGGCCAATCGCCGGCCGGCACCGCCGGCGCGCGCCGCGCCCGCCCCCGCGCCGAGATTGCCACCCGCTCCCGCCAATGGCCGCCCGGCGCGACCCACGGCTCAGCCAATAGGGAGGCAAAGCCGGCGCTCTGCCCCGCCTACCCCTCCCCCGGGAGAGCTCGGCTCCCTCCCGGCCGGGCGGCGGTTGCCTTGGGAACGGACGGGGCCACCCCGCCGCGGGGCACGCCGGGAGTTGTAGTGCGGCGCAGCGCTCCCGGCGTGCCCCGCGTGCTGTGAGTTGGCATTTTCAAGCGGGTGAAGGGGCGGCGGGGGCAGGGCGGCTCCGAAGGTGCTCGACCCTTCCGCGGGCCCCGGGCGGGGCGTGGCGCTGCCGCGGGCACAGCCCGGCCGCCCCCACCCGCCCTCGGGCGGTGCCTGCCTGTGCCGGGGCCGGTGACACAGACCCGATTCCGAGAAGTTGCTCTAAGTCCTCGGCCAATCAGAAGTGAGCGCTCGCCGCGCGCACCAATGGGCGTGCGTGGGGGGCGTGGCCGCGAGAACTCGGCTGACCCCGATGACTTGGCAGCGCCGCGCGATGACTGGACAACTTCTTTAAAGGGGCCGCGCCCGCCGCGGGTGCCGGCGGGGGAGAGCACAGCGCCGGCCCGGCCCAGCCAGAAGCGCTCACCCGCTGCCCCGCCGGCACTCCAGGCGCTGCCGCTCCCGCCCCGCGGGGCGCGGTTCTGAGGCGCGCTGCCCCTTTAAGGCCGTTTCCTGCCCTTCGTCCCAGTAACAGCTGATTGCAGCGGGCCAGGGCCGGGCGGCCAATCGGCGGCCGCCACGTCCCACCCACGTGACTCTCACGCGCCGCCCGGCGGGAGACCCCGGCGTTCTTAAAGGGGCCGCGCGCGGTCCGGCCGCCCGTGGATGTCATGACCGTGTGCCCCGTGGGTCCCGTCTCACCGGAGGTCCGGCAGTGCCCGGGCGGAGGCGGGAGGACCCGGTTCGGCTCACGGGCAGCGGGGCCGGACAGCTCCTGTAGCGTGCGGTGCCTCGCGGGGCAGAGGGCGGGGCTGGAACGGCCCCGCCGCCCCGGGCACTCACCTGCCGCAGGCGGGTGAGGAGCCCTTTAAGACCGGCTGCCTCGTCAGGGCGGCTCGGCCGTGCTCCAGCTGACAACCCGGGGCGGCTCTGACGTCACTGTGACGTCACTGTGACGTCACGTCCCGCCGGTGCCCGCGCCCCGGCCGCTGGAGGGAGCGCGGCCCGGCCCCGGCGGGGAGCGCGGCCCGGCCCGGCCCGGCCCCCCCGCGCACATGGCGGCGCGGCGGCCGCATGTGACCGCCGTCACCTGACCGGCATGGCCGGGGCCGCCCCCGCCGCCGCCCGCCGCGGCTGAGCCGCCGCCGCCGCCAGGTAACGCGGGGCCGCCGGGGCGGTGAGGGACCCCGCGGGGGGATGAGGGCTCCCCGGGGCGCTCAGCACGGCTCTGCGGTGCCCACGCCGGGAGCGAGGGGCCGGGGCCGCCTGAGCGGCCGTGGCCGTGGCTCGGTGCTGGGTCCCTGCTCCGTGCTGTGAGCATCCTCGGGTCGCTCCCCTGGCCCCTCTCCGGGCCCTGCAGAGGTCCCTTTGTGTTCCCAATACGGGCTCGGTGCTGGGTCCGTGCTCCGTGCTGTGAGCATCCCTGGGTCACTCCCCTGGCTCCTCTCCCGTCCCTTTGTGTCCCCAATAGGGGCATTATGCTGGAGGTGTGTCCCCTCCAGCTGCGGAGGTGCCGTAGTGTCCCCACCGTCTTCTCTGGGGCTGCAGATGTCCCCCTCCATATCCCATCGCATTCCTTTTCAGTCCTGGGGCTGTGAATGTCCCATTGTGTCCCTCCAGCGCAGGCCTGAGCAGGTGCCATTGCGTCCCACGCCCTGGCTGTGGATGTTCCATTGTGTGTCCCCCCCAGCAGCCCTGGGCCTGCAGAGCTCCTGTAATGTCCCTTCCCCAGCAGTTGGATGTGCCTGTCCCCATCGTGTCCCCATTGTGTCCCCATCGTGTCCCGCTGCCAGGGGCTGTGGGAGCCCCACCGTGTCACCCTGCCTGGCTGCAGAGGTCCCACCTTGTCCCTCACAGCCAGGGCTGGTCCCATCTCATCCCCCACACACATGCATAGCGACCAAGCTCCTCAAACCACCTTTTTTTTTACCCAAGTGTGTATGGGGAAGTGAGACTCACTGCTCACTGGGGCGGGCAGGGTGGTTCCGCGCTCTGCTCGCTCACAGGCTGTCTAGACCACCTTTCTCCCAGCAGAATCCATCATGGAAGGCTTCCTGCAGAGCGTGGAGAAGGACCTGAACATCGACCGCCGGCAGCTGGCCCCCGAGAGGACCCACGTCACCGCCTTCGTGCCGGCCAAATGGCTGCAGAGCCTCAAGGAGCGCCGCGTGCTGCCGGTGGCCTGCCCGCGGCCCGAGGGGCTGAGCGAGGTGGAGGTCAGGACGTTCCTGCAGCACTCGGTGCAGAAACTCCCGGCGGGCTGGACGCGGGTGGAGATCCACGGGCTGCGGAAGGCGCGGCTGGGGTACCCGCTGCGGGCACAGCCCCCCGAGCAGCGCTGCGGCGGCACCACGGACACGCTGCACGGCTTCATGCAGAGCGTGGCCACCCACAACTACCACAACCTGTGGGGCCGGGCCCACGGGCTGTACGCGCGGCCCTACCGGCGCCCGGACGCGCCGCCCACGGTGCCGGCGCTGGACGCGCTGAGGGCTGCCCTGCACAGAGCCTACGGCTGCCCCGTCCTCCAGGTGGGCAGGAACGTGGCTGGCATGTCCCCTGCCAAGGAGAGCGTGGCCAAAGCAGTGCCCCTGTGCCCCAACGTGCTGCAGGCTGAGGCGCTGCTGGAGTCGGCCGACATGCTGTACGTCATCTACCCCTATGTGCAGTACTGCCTGCACGACGTTGTGACCTTCAGCCCGGCCAAGCTCACCAACAGCCACGCCAAGATCCTCTTCCTCCTCTTCCACGTGCTGCAGGCCATGAGGGCTTGTCACCAGGCGGGTCTGGCTTGTGGAGATTTCTCCCTTCGGGACGTGGCTGTGGATGAGAAGCTGTGCAGCCGGCTGCGGGTGAACTTCAGAGGGTACGAGGGACCGGGGGAGGAGGAGGAGGAGAATCTGAAGGGCGGCCTGGACCGAGAGAGCGAGCAAAGCTGTGTGCAAAGGCAGGAGGTGACGTGCAGTGCCTGCCAGAAGGACCTCCGAGACCTGGTGTTGCAGTGGGTGCACGGGCAGGTCAGCAACTTCGACTACCTTATGCGACTGAACAGCTTGGCTGGGAGGAGGATGGGAGACCCCAATTACCACCCGGTTCTTCCGTGGGTGGTGGACTTCACTACCAAAAATGGCAAGTTCAGGGACCTGAGGAAATCCAAGTTCCGTCTCAACAAGGGGGACAAACAGCTGGACTTCACCTACGAGATGACCAAGCAGGCGTTTGTTGCGGGGGGCTCGAGCGGGGAGCAGCTCCACGTGCCCCATCACATCTCGGACGTGCTCTCGGATATCACCTACTACGTGTACACGGCCCGCAGGACACCCAAGGCAGTGCTGTGCTGCCACGTGAGGTCCCAGTGGGAGCCCAACGAGTACCCAGCCAGCATGGAGCGCATGCAGAGCTGGACACCTGATGAGTGCATCCCAGAGTTTTACACAGACCCCTCCATCTTCCGCTCCATCCACCCGGACATGCCCGACCTGGATGTGCCGTCATGGTGCAGCTCCTACGAGGAGTTCATCGAAGTTCACCGCATGCTGCTGGAGAGCCGGGAGGTCTCCCAGGACCTGCACCACTGGATTGACCTCACCTTTGGCTACAAGCTGCTGGGGAAGGATGCAGTCAAGGAGAAGAACGTCTGTCTCCACTTGGTTGACAACCACACGCACCTGACGACCTACGGGGTGGTGCAGCTCTTTGACCAGCCCCATCCCAGGCGCATGGTGGGACCTGCCTACACTCCTGCTGAAGCTCCAGCCATTGCCCGGCCTCTGCTCCAGAACATCCGGGAGACCGTGGTTTTGGAGGACATCCAAGGCCAGGTGACAGATGCAGTCAACGGGCTGGTCCTGGAGGCTACTCCCAGTGAAACCACCTGGTCTGGGGAGAAACCCATCGCTGGTGAGGATGATTTGGAGCAAGGTACAGAAGCCCTGGATTCCATTTCTGCTCCTGGGAGAGCCCCTGACCAGCCCTGTGCTACTGTGCCTCCAGCACAGCCCTCCACCCTCCCTGCTTATGTCACTGACAGCAAATCCTCAGGGGTCCGACCGCTCCGTCGGAGCAAGGCAGGGGCTGTGGATCAGCTCGACATGAAGATCACACTTCCTGAAGGCTTCAACCCGCTCCAGGCCCTGGAGGAACTGGAGAAATTGGACAATTTCTTGGTTAAAGGCTTAAGCAGCGAGATGCAGCTGATGGAGCAGCTGTGGGAAGAGCCACCCTTGAGTCTCTCAGACCTCTTCCAGAGGGACATGCAAGCTCTGGGCATCCTGGTAGCTGAGATTATATTTGCACCGAGGCTTCGTCCTTCGAAGCCCGACGCGTCGCTGTCGGAGCGGTTCCTGATGGTGAGGAACCTCTGCCGTTACCATCCCAAGGAGATCCCGGCCCCGCTGCAGCACGTGCTGCACGTCCTGCTGCAGCTGAGCGTGCCCGTGGAGAAGCTGCTGAAGAGCAGGCTGGGCAAGGGCGCAGTGCAGCTGTTTGAATACGAACCCATCTCCCAGGGCCTCCCCCCACCCTGTCCCACGCAGCTCCTCAGCCCCTTCAGCTCCATTGTCCCCTTCCCCAC